AGCCCCCACGTAGCACGGGCGACGACCAAGACCACTACGCTGCAGATGACCAAGGTCGACACGACGACAGCGGTCTGCGACTATATGATGCGTGTTTGCGTGTGCATTTGCATGCAGCAAGCGCTCACATATTTCTGCTCGTGTACAGCATCGGATAACGAGTATCTTGCTGGACAAAAGAGTATCCGTACGCGCGCCTCTAAATTCTATTTGTGGTCTCACCAAGTGATCGAACGCAGCCGCCACCGGCAGCTTGGCAGTCGATCGACATGCGCAGGCCATGGAAGCGTTTTGTAACGAGCTCGCCCGGTTGTCGCTCGACAGCCCAGACGCCGACGAGTGGATCGCCGATGGGCCGCTGCTACCCGGCGAGGGTCCCGTGTGCCGCGGCGACGTTCTTGGCTACATTGCCAAAGATTACGATTGGCCGGGCGCGCCGTCGGACCACTCGGATGCGCCAACACAACAGTCGCGTGACGGCAGCAGCAGTGACAGCGACGGCAGCAGCAGCGACAGTGTGGCAACTTCTTTTGAGGTCGTGGTGACGCGCCCTCGCCGCCAATGCGCCACTTACGCCCAGCCGACGCGGCCAAAGAAGCGTAAGAAGAAGGCCAAGAAGAAGGCCAAGCGCAAGAACAAGCGACACCTCAAGCACAAGCAAGCGCGCGTCAAGATTGGCGACTTCCTCGATGATGCCTTTGCGACGCACAAGCTCGACAAGTGCAGCGTGGTGTGTCCTTTTTGCAACGCCTTTCTCTGGACGTACGAGGTCGATGGTGGCCGGCACAGCCCGTGCTGCAACAACGGCGCGATTTTCATTCCCGACGAGGTGCTGCCCGACACGCACGAGTTTCGGCAATGGCTGGCGCTGTGGAAGAATCCAATGTTCATCAAGTTTGTGCGCCGGTTCAATGCAGCGTTCCAATTCACGTCGCTCGCGACCAATCAGATTCATCTCCCAGGACGCGCGCCTCAGTCGTTTACGATTCAAGGAGCGCTGTACCATCGACTTGGCGGTCTCGAGGCACGCACGTCGCCTCTCTTTGCCCAAGTGTACGTCATTGGCGATGCCGTCGAGCAACTCCGCGTGCGCTCGGGGATGCAGGTCGTCGAAACTCTCCCCAACAACATTGTCGCGTTTCTTCAAGACCAAATCCTGCTTCCGCACAACCCGTTTGCCAAGCTTTTTGAGCACGCCAAGGACATTACCCGCGATGCCTCGGCCGAGATCGTCCTCAAGTCCGTGCCGGGTCGAACGCACAACACGCCCACGTGCAACGAAATTGCGGTGCTCATCGAGAACGCACCGGATGGTCAGCGCCAGCGCAGCATTCGTCTTCGATACCGCAACTCGGACACAACTGCGGACAGCGCCGGCCAAGAAGGCGACCACGGCGTCGAAAGCGGCAGCCAAGGCGACCACGGCCAGGGAGTCGATCAAGCCGTTGACAGCGATGGTGCCCAAGGCGTCCAAGACGGTATCAACGAAGGCGAGCAAGACGACGCAGGGCTTGGCACGCCGGTGCCTGTCAATCGCAACCGTGGAGACGTGCTCGTGCATGGACCGACGCGCGGCGCGTACTTCAAGACCATTTCCGAGTTTCATTGCTCGTACGACGCGCTTCACTACCCGATCCTCTTTCCGACGGGGCGCACGGGCTGGCACTTTCAAATGGAGTCGCGAGCTGGCAACAAGATCACGCTCAATGCGTGGATCAAGTACATGCTGTACCAGCGCAAGGACAACTTCTCGCCTCTGCACGCTGCAGGACGCCTCTTCCAAGAGTGGTGTGTCGACCAGTATGCCAAGCTCAACCAAAACCGGCTGCGCTTCATTGCCCACAACCAAGGCACGATCCGCCAAGAGTCGTACCAGGAGTACGCCGACGCAGTTGCCCGGCGCCGTGGCCTCCACACGATCGGCATCAAGACGATCTTGCCCGCATCGTTCCACGGCAGTCCTCGTGACATGCAGCGGCGGTACCAAGACGCCATGGCCATTGTGCGCAAGTTTGGCAAGCCGGATCTCTTTATCACTTTTACGTGCAACCCAGCATGGCCCGAGATCACGGAAATGCTGGCCGACCAGCAAAACGAGATGGGCTTCAAGCGCAAGGCCGAAGATCGCATGGACATCGTCGTGCGAGTCTTTCGGCAAAAACTTGCTGCGTTTGAAGACGCCATTTACGACCGACACGTTCTTGGCAAGGTCACCGCCTTTGTCAGAGTTGTCGAGTTCCAAAAGCGCGGTCTGCCCCACGCCCACATGCTTATCATATTGGACGAAGATGACAAGCTTAAGACCGCCGAGCAGGTCAACAGCGTCGTATGCGCCGAGATGCCCGACCGCAGCACCAACCCGTTGCTGCACGCGTTGGTCAAGAAGCATATGATCCACACGTGCACGAGCGACCGGTGCCTCAAGGACGGCAAGTGCGACAAAAAGTTCCCGCGCGCTTTCTGTGACGAGACGACGGTCGAGACCAACGGCGGGTTTCCAATGTATCGGCGACGTTCCAGCGATGAGCTCAACGCGCGTGTCGTGCCGTACAATCCCGCGCTCACTACGCTCTTCAATTGCCACATCAATGTCGAAGTGTGCTCGACGATCGCATCCGTCAAGTACATCTACAAGTACATCTTCAAGGGTCAAGACCGCGCCAACTACGCCGTCGCGACCGAGATTGACGAAATCAAGGACTACATCGAAGCGCGCTACGTCTCGACGTGTGAGGCCGTCTACCGCATTTTCAACTACGAGCTCTTTCGAACGTCGCACTCGGTGACCCACTTGCCGATCCATCTCGAGGACCAGCAGCGCGTTCAGTTCAGTGCCACCGAGACGACCGAAGATGCCGAGGCGCGTCTCCAAGAAGGTGTGGACACACGCCTCACGGCGTTCTTTGACGCCGTGGACATGGACGCCATTGGCTTGCACGGCAAGCGGGCACGCGACTGTCTGTACGCAGAGATGCCAGAGTACTTTTCATGGGACAAATGGTGGAAGCCTCGCCAGCGGCGCCGAAAAGCTCTGGGCCGCATGTACTCGGTGTCACCACGGGCTAACGAACGCTTCTACATGCGCTTGGTGCTCTGCCACCGCCGCGGTCCATCCTCATTTGCTGACTTGCGGACGCACAACGGCATCACGTACGAAACGTACCAAGGCGTTGCCGATGCCATGGGTCTCGTGGCAAACGACGGGGAGTGGGTCGACTGCCTCGACCAGGCCAAGGAATGGCAAACGGGCGCTGCGCTGCGGTCTCTCTTTGCGACAGTCTTATTTGTCGGCCAGCCCAAGAACATTGCAACGCTCTGGGCGCGATTCCGGCCCTACCTCATTGACGACCTTCCGTCGACGACACCCGAAGAAGAAGAAGAGAGCACGGCGTGGGCTCTTCTTCACATTGACGATCTCTTGCGCTCCAACGGCGACATGTGCTCGCTCCGGACATTCCGTGACATGCCGCAGCTTGCCACGTATGCAGCCGTGCTCGAGCGCCTCAATGCAGTGCCGAGCCCCAACCGACTGCTTGCAATTGAGCGTGGCTACGATCCCGCTGCACTCGATCGCGTCCTCCAAGGTCATGCAGCCATGACGGACGAGCAGCGCGCCGTCTTTGACACGGTCATGACCAACGTCGAACAAAACCGCGAGCGCGACTCTAAGCACGCCTTCTACATTGAGGGCGAAGGTGGCTCGGGCAAAAGCTACGTCGCCAACTTGCTTTTGGCCCAAGCCCGTTCCAACGGCCATGTTGCGCTTGCCGTTGCATCGTCGGGGCTTGCGTCCTTACTTCTCATGGGCGGCACGACAGCGCATTACCGCTTCAAGATTCCTGTCGACCTCAGCCCCGAGAAGCGCTGCAGCGTCGCAATTCAGTCGGAGCTTGCGGCGCTGCTCCGTGAGGCCAAGCTCATTGTCTGGGACGAGTGCTCTATGATCCACAAGCAAGCGATCCAGGCGGTCAGCGATATGCTGTGCGACATCTCTTTCGATCCGACGACCAAGGAGCTGCCGTTCGACGGCAAGACCGTCGTGTTTCTCGGTGACTTCAAGCAGACACTTCCCGTTGTTCGCGACGGCACGCGCAGCGACATCGTCCGAGCCTGTCTTCGGCGCAGCGCTATGTGGCGCGACGTCGAAGTGTTGACGCTTACGCGCAATATGCGGCTTTACTTGGGCGTCGACGCCGACGCTGCAGCAGTCGATCCGGCCGAGTACGCCGACTTTATCTTGAAGATTGGCCACGGGACGTATGGCACGGACGACAACGGCGGCTTTGGTGAAGACTACATCAAGCTCCCAGATGACATGGTTCTTGACGTCATTGGGGCCACGCCCGAGGTTGGGCTCATCGACCATTTCTACGGTGATCTTGGCAACACGTCGATCGAAACCCTACCGTCGTACCTCGGTGAGCGCGCCATTTTGGCACCAAAAAACGATGTGACCAACAAGATCAATGCCATGGTGCTCGACCGCATGCCCGGCGAGTTGACGTCCTACATTTCGGGCGACAGCGTCGAAGAAGAAGCTTGCGACTCGGACGCTGCGGGTGTCACGTGGACGACCGAGTTTCTCAACACGGTGAGCCTCGCCAACTTTCCGGAGCACAAGCTCGATCTCAAGATTGGCGCCCCGATCATGCTTCTCCGCAACATTTGTCCTCGAGAGGGTCTCTGCAACGGGACGCGCCTCATCGTCGAAGGCCTCCAAACACGCTGCATCAAGGCACGGATCTTGACGGGGTCCCACGCTGGGGCCATGGCGTTCATTCCACGCATGACCATGGTCAGCGATACCAAGGACAGTCGACTGCCATTTGTGCTGTGCCGGCGCCAATTTCCTGTGCGACTCGCCTATGCCATGACGATCAACAAGGCCCAAGGACAGACTGTGCCTCATGTCGGCGTGTACCTGCCGGAACCCGTATTTGCCCACGGCCAGCTCTACGTCGCACTCTCGCGCGTCAAGGCCAAGGCAAACATCAAGATTTTGGCGCTCGACGCCATCTCCAACGTCAACGGCAGCACGTACACGAAGAACGTCGTGTACCGCGAAGTGTTTGCCGACGAGACCGACCACGAAGACATATCCGACGACGACCTTGGTGGCGACAACGGCGACGGCATAGATCGTAGCGACGCCATTTTATGATTGTTTGCGCTTCCAACTCTTTCCAGACTTTCTTTTCTGCACAGTCCAAAAATATACACACGACACGCACGAGCCGCTAGATTGTACGCTGCCCCAACGCCAAACCGAAACCAAAAAGCAAAACTACACTTCCCATGCAACACAGATAAACCGCTAGATAGCCCACTGGCCCTAAGCCCCGCATAAACCAAAAAGCTTGACTACACCCTACCTGAAAAACACGAGGTTAACCCTAGTCTATCTATTAATTGAATAACGACTTTTTTGCGCGAAGCGCGGCACGAGCGCAGCGAGGGCACCCGGCGGTAGCCGGGCCCGTGCGATAGCACGGTAGGGCAAAATGAAGTCTCAACATGGT